CTGGTCGGTGTTTGGGGACGGAGGGGCACCTCTGGGCTGGCGAGGGGCGCTGGTGCGGGTGGGGGGAGCTCCGCGCCTGGGAAGGGCTGGTGCTGGGGGGAGGTCAGCGCCCTTTTTACAAGGGCGTGTAGTGACAGGGCAAGGGGCAATGGCTTTAAACTGAAAGAGGGGAGATTTCCATTAGATCTAAGGAAGAAATTTTTCATTCTGAGGGTGGTGAGGCACTGGAACAGGTTGCCCAGAGAAGCTGTGGCTGCCCCATCCCTGGAAGTGTTCGAGGCCAGGGTGGGTGAGACTTTGGGCAACCTGGTGTAGTGGAGGGGTTTCCTGCCCATCGTTGGAACTAGATGATCTTTGAGATCCCTTCCAACCCAACCCATTCAAGAATTCTCCTGGGACTGGGTGGTTGTTTGAGCAGGTGGGGCTGCGGTGGAGGCCCGAGCGGGGGGCAGCCTGTGGCCCAGGAGAGTGCTGTGGTCGTCTGGGGTTGCTGGGAGCGGGCTGGTGGTGGGGGGTGTTGCCAGGGAGGCAGAGACTGTGTGGATGAGAGCAGTGGTTGAAGGCTGATCAGCCTGTTCCGAAATCTGGACAATTTTCAACCGTTACAGCCTCTTGTAATGATTCTCTCGGTCGTGTTTTGTTTTGGCTCTTTGTGGTGGTGTTTTTTTTTTCCCGACTTCAGGCTTTGTTTGGCCTTTGCAGCAAAGTGCTGTGCAGGCACATGCTGTGTTCCCCAGTTGTAGGGGAACAGTGGTGGGTCAGTCTGTTTTGCTGCAGTTCTCATTCTACCTGTCTGTTTTGACAAGTTTGTTAAGTCTTGCAGGTTTGTCCCTTCTGTGCAAACAGTGGCCTCTTGGCTACAGCTGGGCTGAGATGAGCAGCTATCAGAGCAAAGCTGAGCTTGGCAAGCTGCTCAGGTGGTTGTTGACATGGCTGATCTGTTCCAAAGTCAGCTTTGGGGGTCTCCATACCAGCAGCACGTTGTAAAAATGCACAAATGATTCACATGAGTCATCTAACATGCAGGGGGGTTATCAGCTTGGACAACTTGCCTTTCTTAAAGTTTGTTGATACACATGAAATTCACGGTTTGTGTTGCACAATGTTCACGTTTCTACCTTGCTTTTGTGGGATGAATATGTGGCTTGGTTTGCTTGTCATAGAAATAAAAGGGGTTTTATAGCGTGCAGATGGTTCTTAATCTATGGTGTCTGAACATTATTGTCTTCTAGGAAGATCCGTCCCTGGAGAGACACTTCAAGGGCCACAGAGATGCCATCACTAGCGTGGACTTCAGCCTCAATAAGAAGCAATTGGGTAAAACGTCTCTCTGTGTTTCGATGGCTTCTCTCCTGTAGTTAAATGGAGGGAGCAGTGGAGGTACTGAGCTCTACAAGAGCAAAGAACTTATTTTTGTGATGATGAGATTTTGAGGAATTTCAGGATGAGCATTTCTATGTGCTCTGAAAAAAGCAATCCTGTTGTCGAACCATAGGAGTGGCAGCTTGTGTGCATCCTGCTAAAGCTTTAGGGACATCTACTGTTGCTTATAATTTCATGTACCTTGCTTTACCATTCAGTCAGGTAAAACTTTACTTTTTCTTCTCCATCTTCCATTTCTCCCCTTTAGATGGCTGCCTGTGGTGTTATGCCAAGGCTTGTGTCCTAGTTGCTCTTTAGTAACCCGTTGTGTGTGTACTGAGTAGAAACCAGGAGGGTTTTTGGCTCTTAACAAAGTTGCTCTTCAGCCTGTGTGGCACGGTGGACATCGCTTTGGCTTGCAGAGAAGATAAGACAGAAATGATCGTTTGAGGCGATGTGCCTGGTAGGCAGTGGGTGCAATGGGCATGAATAAATAGAAGTGCAGCAGTCTAGCAAGTAAGAATCCTGGTCTGCATCTTGCAACCTACCTAGCACTCTGGAAGCTGCAAGGAAATGAAAATGGCTCAGACTCATCTTGGCCCCCCTCTCTCTCTCCCTGCTGCTGTTTTTGTTGTTGTCCTTTGCTGTCTTTTCCCTTCCTTTTAAAGTTATTTTTCCCCTTCTCCACCCTCAAAAATAAAATAACAAACCTAGAGATTTTGGCCTTTTATTCCATGACATTGCTTGCCCAATCCAGTGAGGATAATAGTTATTGCCAACAAGTCGCATGTAAACAGTGTCATACTGAAGTGCTTTATTGAGACATCAGAGCATTATTTTCCTTAAATTTTTTAACGTTGGTCCTGGGGGCACTGTGATATTGCAACTTAATATCCTTGCCAGACAATGACTTAGAGTAGTTGTGAGTAACATTCAAATCTCTTGATGCTAGGCTACGTGCTCAATCTACTCTTACACAGTTGTCTCCTCTTAAATTTTAGTATCCGTAAGGAAAGGTGTTGCCTGTATGAAATACAGAACCAAACAAAAACAGCAGTTGAACTGACAAACGTGAGGTTTTTTGTTTCACGTTAGGGCACACACATAATGAATGATCCTGTTTGAAATAGGCATATATTAATCCTGAATCAATAGGAGGAAAAGAGGTGACGTTTTTGTGTTGAAATGACTGTTAAATAGAAGGACATTTCCAGCAAAAGCTATTGGTATTTTGCCACAACGCTAATGAACGGAAATCTTCTTGTCATGATGATAGCACCATGTCAGAACCTGCCATCAGACTGATCTTTTTTTCTGGGAATATCTTAAGATCTTGTTGGAGATGTGCCCCACTTGGCTGGCACTTTGGTGGAGGGACAGAGGTGCAGCTTGGATTTGTTGGCAGGCTAAGATGTGTATTTTCTGTATTTGCTTGTGGAAAATCTACAAAGTTTTTTGTTGATTTGAAGGAGTATTTTTACTGTCATTGTTTGAGACTCAAGTTGCTGCGGGTGTATGTTTGCTCTTTTATGAATTGCTGGAATCCCAGTGCTACAGACTTCACGCAGTATGGCAGGCTTTAGGGGATGAGCAGCTCTCCAGTTTCCACTGTGCTGAGCTGGCAATGGGAGTTCTGTACTGAAGTGGAATTTACTGGTGTTCTTGGCAGGGACTGATACCGCTCCTGCCAGATAGGGAGGGGGTTGTAGCTTGTATGAAGTTCAGTGTCGTGGAGATGAGCTGTCGGTTGTGTTCGTGATGGATCCAGCGCGTGTGTCTGAATTCTGCCTCCTACTGAAGTGACCCTTTGCTCTTGCTGCTGAGGGAGGTCTTGAAAAAGCAGCATCCATCTTAGGAGACATCTGCCTTCCCATAAGTCTTTATCCTCTGGGGTTTCCCTTCAGCCCTTTCTCTTCTTTCTTCTCTTTGGAGCATGCCTGTGCCCTCTTCCACCCCTTTCTTAGAAGCCCGAAAGTAAAGGCAAGTTGTGGTGGTGGTTGTTTTTTTTTCCCCCACAGGTGAGTATAGAAGTAAGCATGAGTGGAAGAGTGGGTGTGAGCAGATGGAGAGACCTCATCTCCATCTGTAGTTCCTTAAAGCCTGTCACGACTACCAAGTCCTGCTGACCCTTCCTACTAATAGCACATGGAACAATGTTCTAATTGTGTTGCAAGCTTGTATTTTTCATATATTGTTAAGAACTGCTGAGCTGACTTCAATCAACGTTCTGCAGCAAGAGAGAGGTGGTGGAGGGAGACATAGCTGGGTTGCCTTTAAGTCACCAACTCACAGGGCTTCTCTACCTAATCTATAGTGTGTTGATGTTTAACCTGCTGCACCTGATAGTTTCCTCTGCTTCCTGATAAAAAAGTGGTGAGAGGCCCTTCATCCACAGACCTTCTGTGTGTTTCCTTAGTGTTTATTTATTTGGAAGAAGTTTTGCAACTTGTGTGGCTTTTGCCTCTGCAGCTGTTGCATGACCTGACTCTAGGAAGTAAATTGTCAGTCCAAGCCAATGCACGACTGACTTTGTGTTGTTTGAATTACTAGTGAGATATACAGTTTGCAACACATTGGTGAAGCTTCAGGGGCAATGTACTTGAGATTGCTGGAAGCTGTGATGGTGAACTGAGTGAAATGTAGTTTCAGCGTAATTGAAGGAGAACTAATGCAAGTTTGTTTTTTTTTGTGGTTTTGTTTTTCCTTTTTATTTCAGCAAGTGGCTCGATGGATTCATGCCTGATGATCTGGAGTATGAGACCACAGATGAGAGCCTATCGCTTTGTGGGCCACAAAGACGCGGTGATGTGTGTTCAGTTTTCACCGTCTGGTCACCTGGTGGCTTCAGGCTCTAGAGACAAAACAGTCCGTTTATGGGTTCCCAGTGTGTAAGTATCTGTTCCCTTCTGTCTCTCTTTTTGTAGTTTTAGCTATGGCTTGGGATTTCTGCTTGCTTCTTGATAGCAGTTCTCCAGCTATGGGACTGGGATCTGTTTGGGGGGAGAAAGAACTATTTTATGTGGCAGCTCTGACAGAGGAGAGGTAATTTGGTCTTGAAATTGCATTGGAAACAAAACTAAAATCCTTTGTAAAGCTTAAAGTCAGTATTAACTACCTATGGTAATGTAACAAGTCACTGATGTAGCTCATGAGTGTTGAGCTGTTGGATTTTTCTTCCCCATTCTCCCCCAATCTGTCTTTCCTCCTAGCAAATCAATCCTTTGCATCTTTGCCAGTGTTAAGCAAGATGCTGAAACACAAGTTGAGGTTTAATGATGGAGACGCCTGTTCGGTGAGCAGGGTGGAGGTTACTAGCTTGCGTGCTTGCTGTAGCCCACAAAACAGGTGCCTTTAATCTTTATTTCTAAAGATTAAAGTTTAGAAAGTTTTAAAGTCTAAAACTAGTAACTCTGCCTTCCACTAATAGATGGTATATTACGAATATAAAAGACCGCTTTAGATGATGCATTGACCTTTTTGTGAGCTTGCATGTTATTAACAAAAATTTACTTACCCTTTCAGTACCTTAGCTTAATTATGAAGCTTCTATTTCTGAGTAGAGGGTTTAGTTGCCTTAATTCATAAACACTTGTCAAGTTCTTGGCAATCATTCACTGAGAGACCTCAGCTTCAGTTGTTTTACTCTGCAATGCATTGTTTTAAGTGTTATGTCTTCAGTGAGGACCACTTAATTGAAATACAACACAAATGGGCGAGTGCTGAAGAAATTCTGCTCGAAGACTTAATTTTGCAGCCCAGATGCAGAAAAGCAACTGCCAGTGTTTCCTCTGGTCTCTTAGTTCCCACACTAAACTAAACTAAAAATCCCACAGGATTGTTTTTTCTGAATGAGCAGGCATATAGAAAGGTATCAGAGGCTTGTTTTCTTGTGAGCTTGTAAATTGCTGCTGTCAAAGACTAAAAGATTTTGTCCAGAAACAGACCTGATGATTGCGGTGGCGAATAAAAGGAATTTAAAAAAACCTGAACCAAATAAAACCATACAGAAAACATACCCCAACTTTAAAATAAACATGTTGCTTCAGGAACCTGAGAAAGCATTTCTAGTTGTTTGTTTTTGCTGAGTTCTTACGGTTATGATTACCCATTGGAAGCTTTATGTGATGATCTATTAAATCATAAGTAATCTCTGCCGTGGAACTCAGGTTCTGAAAGGCACTTTGAAAAAATATGTGATAAAAGTGCTTTTAAATATCTTATAGTGAAATATAACTAACATTTGAAGATTGTAATTTCAAGTATAACTATTTCCATTTAGTTAAACTTTCTGAGAAGAAATTATCACAACGACATGCTAGCATATATATTATTAAAAGGCACAAGGTGGACTGTGATTAAAATTTACCCTTGTTGCTTGTCAATCCTCTATAAAGAAAGAGACTAACAGTGTCATTTTGTGATCTCCAGAGCTGTGCTGCTACCACAGAATGCTGAAAATAAATTACAGCACAGGCTTGTTAGATTTCTCAGAAGCTAACGTGCACATTTCAAGAACGGACTGGGATGTGATGAGAAAACAATGTGTGTTGGGTGATTCTGTCTTGGTTGCTGAGGGATGTGAGCTCTGTGGTCTAAACTGCAGATGTGGCCGTCATGTCAGAAAAGGGCTGGTGTGAAAAGGGAGTTGTTACTGTTATGCTGGTCATGATTACCTTGGTGCCTGGCACCTTTAATCTGTGTTTATTTAGTATTCTTTGTCAATTTACCTTCTCTAAATATAACACAAAATACCCAAACAGCATTGAGGTCGAATCAGGTTTGAGACTTTCAGCTTGCCAGTTTTGCACTGTCATCAGAAGAGGAGGGAGGAGAAGCCTTCTTCCCCTTGCCAGGCACAGAGGTGAGACTGCCTGACCTGTAGTTCCCTGCGTCTTCCTTTTTTCCCTTTTTAAAAATGGGGGCTGTGTTTCCCCTTTTCCAGTCAGTGGGAACTTCACCAGACTGCCACACTTCTCAGATATGAGGGATAGTGGCTTAGCAACTTCATCTGCCAGTTCTCTCAGATGATGAGGATTGAGATGGATGCATCTCATTCTGAAAACTTGCAGTCCCTTTCAAGGGTGGTTTGTTACTGAAGGAGTTAATGCTACCCTGGTGTGTGGATTTCGATCTTTGAGATTTGTTTTTTGTAAGCCATGCTGACGGAATTTTGTAATTTCATGTTTCTGCATGAGTTTTTATCAGACTTGGGAGTGTTTTGTGGTTTTTGGATGGAAGGAAAACTTTCCTGAGAAGTAACCTTTACTGTTCCTTGCCTTCTGGCAGATAAAGGATTAAATAAAACTAGGCAGCTCTGACCTTTTCTGAGGAGGGAGGGAATATTACTGGAAGGTATGTAGTATTTTGATTTTTTGGCCTTTACAAGTAGTTTTGATAGTCCTCAGCCTCAGTGTAAAGCCTGTTAAATCTTAATGGAGAAGGGAGCAAACCACTATGTCTTTCTGTTGTTCTCTTCTGTCTGTGAATATGGAGCTCCTGGTAGTACAGTACATGCTGGAGATGTATTTTGGACCAAGAGTCCCATATATCTGTTGGATATCTAAATATGCCTGGTGTTTATTTGCCAGAAGAATGCCTCTTGCATTTATTTGGAAACGATGGGTAAAGAAGAACAACAGCACCTTGTCCTTTGTCTTGCCTGGCGGAGTTACTGACAGCTTGCTCAAAGTTGTACAGGGTCAGGCATGCTGAATTCACTTGTGTTATTTCTTGTGTGATGCTGCATCGGAAGCGTTCAGCTGGAGTGTGGGCCATCACAGGAACAGTTGTGAGGTAGTTGCCCGCTTGGATCCATCTAGATGAACCGTGAAAGCACTTAACCTCCCTCCTCACTTGCCTTGCAGCAAAGCACCTGGTAATGTGATAGAATCTCAGCATCTTCTTTTATATCAGTGTTTCCATAAATGTTTTAAATGATTGCACAAATTAACAATACCATTTTTGCCCCATATAGGAAACACAGGTTGTTTTCTGTTGGATTGGGCTCCAGTATTGAGCTGGAACAACTGTTTGTAGCTGTGCGTTCTGAACAGCTCTTGAAGCATGAGATTGCTTGGGGTTGATCAAAGTTTTCTTCCTAATGAAGCACATGCAGTTCCCATAAAATGGTGGTTAATAGCACTGCTCAGCATACAGAAGCTTTGTGTTTTCAGGTACATAATGTCTTTGCTGCCCTGTTGTGCAGTTTTAAAGTGCTCTTTCCTTCTGTATAGCAAAGGAGAATCTACTGTGTTCAAGGCTCATACGGCAACTGTAAGAAGTGTTCACTTCTCCAGCGATGGCCAGTCCTTAGTTACAGCTTCTGATGATAAAACAGTCAAAGTGTGGACGGTTCACAGGCAGAAGTTCCTGTTCTCCCTCAGTCAACACATAAACTGGGTTCGCTGTGCCAGGTAAGTACGGCTTTCTGACAAATGGAGATGGGGATTTATCCCTCAAAGCAGAGACTCAGTATCATGGTTTTGTGTAACACTTTTCTCTTCAAGATGACTCAAGTGAGTCTAGTGACTGAAATCTCTTGGTAACCTGCAAAGAAGTCCTTTCATATAATAGTTGTGTACCCACTTTGTGTTTCTTCAGGGATCTTTGTCAAGCAGAAACTTTCCTGCTTAGTGATGTGTTCTGTTTTGCTTTCGCCTGGTATGGAGACTTCTGCATCTGGAAGTTGCTAACAGAAGCAAAATGAGAGATTTATGTCGTTAATTCAGCTTAGTTACTTTTGGACTTGTCATGCCTCTAGTTAAAAATGATCGTCTGTGCTCCTTCCAAAATGCTGAAAGTGCTGCCGTAATAAAACCAGTATTTCCTGATAACTGTCCCAGATTTGATTTTCAGTTGTCCATCTGGGTTGTTCTGAGGAGTTTTTAGGTATACGTGCATCTAGGATAAACGCACAGTTTCTCTATAGTTGAAAAGTTCGTTATAGTTCTTGAATGTGATGGTGGCAGTGGCTGGGAGTACTATAGGTGCCTGCAGCAGAGCAGAAAGAACGTTCTTCCGGTGTGTATGATGATGTTCTCTAGTCAGGGACTCAAGTCCCGATCTTGTAAAATGTATGCCTCTGAAGAGAGATACTGATCTGTCTTGTATATGGAATTTTGAGATAAGAGCTTAATATATTCTTCTAAGGCACTCGAATAAAGAAACTTCAGCTACTGCAGCTGTTACCTTGGGAATAGTTGTATTGCTCTGAATGCTTGTGGCAAAGGCAGGAGTCGTTTTGAATCCGAGCAGAGAAACAACTTGAGAAACACCGAAGTTGAAACAAGTAGGACAGGAGATCTTAAGTTGAACTTAAGTCTTCCCTGAACGTTATTTTATGTGTTTGTGCTGTTAGGGACAGTTTGAGGACTTCTGGCTTGCTTTTTTTCTGTTTTTTGCCCCCCTCGACTTCCAGTGATTGGATTTTTAGCCCTACTGATGCCAGTGTGACTTCTTGAAGAGCGAGTTGTGTTTACCAGCATACCTTGACAGCTGGCCAAATCCAGTTGACCCTGTACACCTTTTGTTTGGGGGTGTTTCTTAATTGCTGTAACTCTTATCTTAGATTCTCTCCTGATGGACGACTGATAGTGTCAGCCAGCGATGATAAAACTGTCAAACTGTGGGATAAAACCAGCAGAGAATGTATACACTCCTTCTGTGAGCACGGCGGGTAAGTACCTGGTGGTGCATGAGGGCTGGCCGCCTTGTGAATTCTGGAATGAGGAGGCTTGGTGAATGTACACCTGGTTTTGTGACTGCAGAGGTCCTTGGCCTGGCAGTCATTTCTACCTCTTAAAAAATCATTATCACCTATTGCAAAAACAACCAGCAGAGGACCAGATGCAAAAACAACTTCCAGAATTGCTTTGACCTTTTTATGACTTCTCCAGATTGGAACCTTGAGGGTTACGTTTCGATAACTGTCCAACACGTCAAGACTTAGTTTCTTTATGCTTTTTTATTTTTGGAGATGCTTAAATTCTTTGTTTCCTCTTCGGGCTATGTTAAGATTTTTTTATTTTGCTCCGAGTTGAAGTGAAAGAGCAAAAGAGTACTGGCAGATTGGTACTTGGATGCTTTGTTTATTCCCAAATTTTTGAACAGCAAGGTTTTGGATAACCACTTTGTATTCAGAAAAACAGCTGTTGAATCAGAATTTTTTCATGGCAAGTATTGAGCCACAGCAAAAGTTAAATTGTCCAGAAACACAGAACAAGTCCTTAGGGAATGGAGACTGGATTCTTCCAAATTTCTTGCTGCATTGAATTTTTAAGTACAAAGTTGTGTTCTTTCCAGGTAATAATATACAATGATATTAAGACAAAATCAGACAGCATTGTTTTTTCCAGTGCTCTTAAGAATATAGCCTGTCCAAACAGCCTATTGAAATACCTCATCTTCCTCAGCATTTGTTATGACAATACTCAAAGGATAATTAATTTTATCCAATTTCTTGCGTGGATTGCTTGAGGAGTTACAAGATGCTCTTCATTGAATGCTTTGAAGGTTTTAACTGTTACTTGTGTGTTCAAAATAAAAATTGATTGCATAGAAGTCCAGAAAGGAATTTGATCTCAGCCTCCCCACCTTCCAAGTGGCAAAATATGATTTCAGGCACAAATTAAGTAAGTTCCATCTTAAAATTAGTTCAGCACAATAGCAGAAAAATATCTGTTTAGTCTTGTACACACTGCTCTAGGTACCCTGTTAATTTAATAGAAGACAGATATTATGCAAACATTAAATGAACACTTGGAAATATTGTTGTGACAGTCGGATCCATCAGATTTCAGGAGACTTATATCTACAGCTCCTACACCTGTATTGCAAAATGTTGAAGATGGTGTGCTTAGATCTAACCTGCTGTCTACTTGGGGTAATAAGCAAGATCTTAAAGTGAAATTCAGCAATACAAATTTTCAGGTTGTCTCCCCTTTTCTGCACTGTTCAATGCACCATGATGCAGCTTCCCTTCTTGAAAAGACGTTTTTGATCTTTAGCAATAGTTGAATGTAAACAGTTGGATTTAACTGCAATTTACAGGTTTGTGAATCATGTGGATTTTCATCCCAGTGGTACATGCATTGCTGCGGCTGGTACAGATAACACAGTGAAGGTGTGGGACGTTAGGATGAATAGACTTCTTCAACATTATCAAGGCAAGTTAAGATCTCAGAAAAGTCAGACCTTTCCACGTATTGGTATGAATTGCTCTGAAGTCTAAGGACTGTTTCTCCGTCACCTGCTACTTTTCCAGAAGGCTGCTGGGTTAGGCCTGCCAGTGGAAGCCTTTTTTCACCAAACATCGTGCTTTGCTTTGTGTTAGCCTCAAGGCTGATTCTCACATACTGGTGAGAAACACCTCTGTTCTGATTTCTCCTCCTCTGCCCACCATCAAAAAGCAAAAAGGCCCTGATGCTGAAACCATTCCGTGTTGCAGATGTGCATAGGTGTTGTCTGTGATGCCACTTGGCTCATGTTCACCATTCTGGAGGAGATGATGTGCAGTAAAGGAGACAGTTTTTGCCTCTGAATAAGCCTATAGGAGGAATCAGATGCATTCCAGGAAAGCAAAAAGTTAAGTTTTCCATGAGAAAATTAGGAAAAGTTAACGAAAGAGGAAAATCAAAATCAACCAATTGCAATTCTATACCATGATCCATGTTTACAGTTCCTTTTCCAGTGTGTTTGATTTTCAGCTTCCAAAGTTAGCTTTGGCCTTGTTGTGGCTTGTCCAGGTTGGCTTGTCCTTGGAGTAGCTAGCTTTTATATTTAGATATATTATATATTTTTGTTCCCTGCCCCTTTGCCTTCCAAATGGCATCTCCTCCCACTACCTGTTCTTGCCAAACTGATCAGTGCTGCTGTTTGCTAGAACTGGATAGAAAAAGGATGCTTTCCCATCCCTGCATCTTTAGGTTTGATCATCCTGCTTTGTGCGTATTAGTTTAAGTCTAAATGTGGCTTTTTTTTCCTTTACTACTAACAATTTTTAGGGCTGCTGTAGTATTTTGTAAATCCATATATTCCCAAGCGCTGTTTCCAGTACAGATAGCTTATTAAGTTTAATTTTGTTAGCTTTTCATGAAGACTGCTTCTGGCATGCTAGTAAAGCAGATCAGAGATAACGCGGCTGGAGCTTAGTGTATTGTTCTTTCTGCCATCCGCATCAGATACTGTCAGTTCCTGCTGTGACAGCCTCACAGCTGGATGCCAGGCAGAAAATACAGAGTAAAAAAAATAGCTTGCAGTTGATTCCTGCTAACTTCACAAGGTAAGAGGCAAAAATTGAGTTTGAAATTAAAGCTGTTGGTCCTCCTGGCTTTATTAAAAAACTGTAATTGTTTTTTGAAGTACTTTTGGCTGTGTATCCCTTTACTCACTAGGCAATGAAAGAATTTGCAGGCTCTCAATACAGGTTCTTCAGTCTCCCCTGATACAGAAAGGCAGAGAAAGCGTAGCAGTGTTCACTGAGCAGTGTTTCCAGTTTGTCTTCCTTCACAGCAACCTGTGAATGAGTAGACCTCTTCTGGTAGATAAAAGCAATAGGATTTACTCATCTCGAAGCAAATGCAGAGTGTCTGCAGAGAAGCTATTAAGATTATGAAAGTCCTTTGGGTTCCAGAAAAAAAGTAAATAAAAGCTCCCCAAGGAGGTTGCTGTAGAAGAGAAACAGTCTGCAAACTTTAGAATGCGCTTGTAATTCTGCTGCGTGTAGAGAGAGGGCTGCTCTTCTGCTCTTTGCACATAGACAGAAACATCATTACGATCATCTGAGCTGATTATTAAACACTGATAGTGACACTTCCATTGTCATTGGAACAAGGTTTCTTCTTGGGTATAAAAAACACATATTCCTTATTTATTATCAGCTTCCTGCTCCTGGATTGTGTTTTATTCCTAGCTTCTAAATGTAGAGTCCTCCTCTCAAGTGTATTCGCCCTATGTAGTCAAGTCAAGCACTCTTTGCACTCTTTGCACTCTTTTTCAACTAAAAAACTGCCTGAACTAGAACTCTCATATAATGTGCTTTTTTTTTTTCTTATTTCTTCAGTTATACTTACGGACTCACGATCACTTCCAGTTCTCTAATAGTTAACAAAATCTAATGGAAATCAAACTTTTTGAGGACTGTTGTTCCAGTTCATTGGTATTGAGCTGGTACAATTACAGTGATGAATACTGAAGTGTGATTGTTTGTGTAATAAATATTGTTAACTTGTGTCCAGTATCGAAACTTGGAAACGCCTTTCTGAAGTCTTGTTGCTAAAATAGGTACTGTGTTTAAATACTTCAGCAGTTCCAGATTGTTCTTTAACCTACTTTATCAGCTTTTCAACAGTGACAAGATCTGCAGTGCAAGTTTCCAGCCACAGTATAACTTGGCTCAAAAATCGTCTCTTCCTGCTTTCCACTTACTGCTATTAAATTGTCCGAATCCAAGGTTGTTTAGGCGGGCTGCCAGGTTTTTTGTGTCTTGGGGTTCTGTATTTCCCCTGTATCACACCCTTATTGAATGGCATTTTAGTCTGACACCCTTGCTATCAAAGTGATCTTTTCCTGTTATGAGTGTTATTTTTAACAGCTACTGAGTAAATCCGAATTGTATATTAAACTTTGGACTAGAAATAGTCATAAAAGGCGAAGAGGCCTGAAATTGCAGTGGTAGCTCTGTGCAGCCGCTTCACGCTCCTGTGGCTGCAAACTGATGTGTTTGTAGCATGTTCTGGAGGTGGGAGTGTAAGTCCTGCTCTTTCGAGGGTTTGTACACATGCCTTTTGGCTAAATCGGATTTAGTTTTGTGGCTCTCCCATGTGGAGCTGCCATCCCGGTCCCACTAGAGGGCATCTCCTCCCTCAGGACGAGCTCAGGCTGCTGATTTGGAGGGAATCCATTATAAAGATTGAGTTGCATCAAGGAGTTAATAGATAACTAGTTCTGCCATGGTCTCTTGCATGTTGTAGTTGGGTTGTTTTCAAAAACTGGTAAGACTTTCAGCAGTGTTGCTCTTGTTGTCAGGACTTGTTTCAAGTGTGACATTTGTAACTGAAAGTTGGAAGTAGAGAGCAAACTGCAAAACTTTTTAAATGGTGTAATGTTGGTTTTTGTTTTGGTTTTTATTTAAGCTAAGTAGAGTATGCTCTGGTCACGTTTACTGTACAGGAGAGCAGACGGATGCTTTATTCAAGCACTTATATTGCAGGTCTGAGGAAACAACTCTAACCTGTTTTTTAATTGATATTTAAAAAGAGCAGTCGGTACTTTTATGTAGTTCAGATGGAGCTGGATGGTGGTTATCTCTTCACTGGGGACTCTGGCTGTGTCAAATCCATCCTAATTTATTTTCTCACTGGTGGTAACTAAATTGTTGCATGCACTGATTACAGAAAATTGGTATTATCGGACTTGGGACAGTTATGTTCAGTCAGTCTGTAGGATGACATGACCCAGTTTTAGTTGTTAATCCCCCACCATAAGTCCCTTTACTGGCTATTCTTTTCCTAGTGCTTGGCTGGCAGAAAGGTAGGCTTGTAGCAACAAGACACTGGGAGATGCCACCTCGTGCTGCACCGGATTTATCGTTCACAACATGAAATGAAGTGATGTTGCAGGACGTCCTGGCAAGTTTTTGGAGAGGTGTCGTGAATGGCCTTGTGGGAGATACAAGCTGGTTTGGCAGAAAAGAGATGAAGTTTTCTCTGAGGAGTTACGACAGCCAAGAACTCCCTGGGCACAGAAGCTGTGACTGCTTACACAGCCACAGGCTGTATGATTTCTTTCCTTTATGAAAAATTTTTTTGGTGAAGCTTGAAATACTTTGCTCACTATCTGGGACTTGGCAGATGTATCATTAACTTCATCTATTTCTGGTGTGATTCCTTTTAGGACTTGCCTTAGTTGACAAAATATGTTTGCCTTTATCTGACTGTAGACACTAACGGGATGAGGAATGTTACGAATCACTTGGAATAGAATTTTCAGAGGACAAATGTATTTAGCACTCTCTCAGGAGGAAAAACTCCATGTAGACTTTTTCTCCTTTAATACATAGTGCAATACAGGGCTGGGTGTAGCTCTACAGGGTAGAGGAAGATGTAGCTGTGTGATAGAGGCAGTATACACCAACAGGAATAACTGTTTAGAAGTTACCTGTGTTGAGTTAAGGTTCTCTTCTGTGTTTTTTAATAGTCCAAGTCAAGAGGAGTTATGTTCTCAGAACTTAAGGTGAGGTATCTAGTGTTCCTGAGAGTTCAAAAAAGTAGATGCATTCTTTTTTATGATTGAGCAAGGTTATTTCAGATTTCTGCTTCAAATCCACATCTGCAAAAAAATTCAGTGTCTTTAAAATTGTATTTTGAGGTTTTTTTTTAACAGGCAGTTTGAATTTGAAATGCGCAGTAGACTCTCAAGGGAATTTAAATTTAGCTGGGGGGATGTAGTAGTAGGTTTGAGATACCAGAACATTTGGAGGGCACATAGTATAATTAAGAATAATTGGATAGTTAAAACCCTCTTCAAGCGTAGTCTTAATGTTCTGTAATGTCACATATGCTCAGGAAGGTGTGCAAATGTAAAGTACTGCATGTTCTCATAAATAAATCTGTTCAATAGCCTGTTTTGTTTGAGGAGGGGGAAAAAAAGCCCTACATTAGGGTAGGTGTTTAATGTTATGGTGAACTTAAGTGTAGTTTGACTTTTTTCCTAGAGCATTTTCTTTAGCTGTTTTCAGAATAACTCTTAGGCTTCATCTTCATGCAGGAAGGATTGCTTTATTGGAAGTTTACGCTCTTGATAGTTTGTCTATTCATGCTTGTTTTAATTTTTTGGTGAGACAAATTGGATGTTTGAAGAAATAATGCTGATACTGGACTGTTTTCAAGTTGCTGATTCCTCTTTCCTAGTTTCTCGTAAACCCAGTCTTGGTTAGAGTTGGGTAGTAAACCAAAAGACCTGCGCAATGCCAACTTTGAGCTTATTTTTCATTGTAATTTAAGTCTTCTCCTTAGTGTGCTCGCATATAGATTTTACTCTACACTGACTTGGGAGTGAGAACAGCAGCTCCACGGTAGTAAAATATGTCAATATCCAGCTCTCTTGGAATCATATAGCTCACTTGTGCATATAGTTACATTTTGGGGCTACACTGGAAGCTTTTGTAGCCTTAAATCTCCCAGAATAATTGGCAAAGCTTCCTTTTTCTTTTCAGTAGAGTATTGCCTATTTTTACAAGAATTGAATACTGCCCTTGTTCTCCAGTGCTTTGAAGGGGTTTTGTGGAATGTTTCCCCCATGATAATTTTCCTGTTAAACTTTATAACAGAAAATTGGCATGTGTTTGTACTTTATTTTATTCTTTTGCCTTGGGCTTATGTAAACTGGTCTCAGTGACGATTATATACGTTTTTTCCATCCTTAGTGCACAGTGCTGTGGTAAACAGTCTTTCCTTTCACCCCTCTGGAAACTATCTGGTTACTGCTTCCAATGATTCAACTCTTAAAATTCTGGACTTGCTAGAAGGAAGACTTCTATATACTCTTCACGGTCACCAGGTGAGGCAAAGCCTTTTATACTGTAATGTACAAATCCATAACAAACTGGGCAAATCTGTGCTTGAGTCTTTCATTCTTCATGGCCAAAAGTATTTCAAAAACTTTCTTGCATAAAGTTATGATGACAGTACTGCTACTAATCTTTGAGGTCATCACTGTTTTAAAGCGAAAGCCTATGGGGAGGGAAGGAGGTAAGGCAGGAATGTGGAGGGTGAGAAAGCCAGACAGAAGGGGAGCTCCAGTTTTGAGGATAGAAGTCTAAAAGACTTAAGGGGCACAGTTGGAGCTGCGCCCTAGACTCTGATCTTGGGTCTGTCGTGCACTCTCTGTACCACAGCTCTGTCTCCCTCCCTCTCCAGAGTGGTGCAAATAACACTTGCCCCCTTGACATAGGTGTTGTGAAGATAAATGCTATTCGCCTGACAGGAGACTTAAGGACGGTAATGGTAAAATAGAGGAAACATATTTTGGGATGTGATTTGGGAACATGTTTCCATTTTGTTAATGGACTGAATTAAATAATTGAAGGTGATAAATGCTGCTAGTTGGTTAAGTTTAACTGATTGGCCTCTTAGTATTATGCTGCTGGATGTGTTGTTTGTAAGGTTAATTATATGAATGCTTGGAGCTCTCTTTTTAAATGTTAAATGAAAATAAATAGACTAATTTCATTGTCCATCCTGATTGAGGCTCAAAGGCATGGAAAAAGCAGGCCAACTTTAAAGGTACCCTTTCCAAAGGGACAAAGAGAACAAATTCTTCACTCACTTGTGTCTCTGTTAAAATTGGGGCTGAGTCTTAAAGCATCAAAACTAGCTGGAGAAAATCACAGCCTGAAGCTGTTGGGGGGTGATGGGGATGGCTCTGGGCAATAATGGTCACTGTGTAAGCTGCAAAACCGAGAATTCTGGCTTCTTGCGGCTTCGTTTAGTGACTAGCTTGTCTGATGTCTAAGAAGGTCCACTTCGTTCTGTAACTTCACTTTTGCTGTGTATTAATTAACTTTTCTCCTTTTTTGTAATATTAATGGAAAAGTAGGACAACCTCATACTTAAAGCTCTACTTCATGGAAAGATCTGATTAAAACTGACTAAAGGGTTCAAATGCTGAAAAGAATGGGGGAAAGATAACAAATGCATTTTGGTTTTGTATTTGTCTTTGCCCAGTGAGTTCTTGGGAAGTAGCTTTCTGGAAAAGGATAAGTGTGGACGAACAGTGAATCTTTACACTTTGCATTCTTCCCTCAGGAAGGGATGTGCCTGGTTATTGTTTAGTAGGAGGCTGAGCCTGCTTTCCATTTTCCTCCCCACTGCGCTGTAGACTACTCCTCACCTTGTGCAGTGGCACAAAAAAAAAGTTAGCTTTGAGAATCCAAAAGCAACTGGCAGTGACAACAGGCCCTGCTTTCATCAGAAGCTGCTGAGGTAGATTCCTGCACTGGCTGCTCCTCTAGCCTGCTCTGCTCACAGATAAACCCGGGCTACTTAATAAAAAAAGCGTTTTTCCCCCCCCCCCCCGCCTTTTTCTCACTATGATTTCTGCCAGTATCTCCTAAGTGTCCAAAAATGAAGTGAGTGTGGATTTTTTTGGTCATTAAGTACATTTGCCTTTTTAAGTGAGGGCTATATGTTAGTCACCAAATGAACAGCCTGTTCTGAAGACATTCTTGAGTTGTGACTTTGTGTGGGTGAATATGCTGGTTGAGACTTTGTTCCTGCTCTGACAGCTGACTGCTGTTACGTGGTTCTGGGAAGGCTGCATGCAAGTGGACACTTGACGGAAAAAAACCTTAAGGTTCTGTAGACATACTTTGACGCAACTGCTGGACTGCCAGGAATTTGTTAGCAGCTGATTAGCCATAGTTTACCTAGGGAGGATTGCCAAGTTTACATTGCTGTCTTTAATTGTAATGTAGCTGGCCCCCTTGTAGCAGAAGGATTGTTAGAGGCAGGAGTTTGCAGCTTGGAGCTGACATCTTGCAGCTGTGAAATATCATTCTGTGCTGTGCTGCATATTTTAGATCTGGAGTGCTTCAAACTGTGAAGTGCTCTTGCTTAATTCCATGTAGATGAGACACCAGCTTGGTATGTAGGTCCACCTCTGGTACTGAATCATCATCAAGGAACAGAATGTTTTGGGGGCTGTAAGTCACCTCCGGAGAGTTGCTGGAGGAGAGCAGGTATGTACACAGTGCTTGTCTGCCCTTTGGGCTGGTTTGATTCGAGCATTTCCAGACTGACTTCCTTAGCGGAATGGAAGTTCGCAGTAAATATTTATAAAACATCTGCATAGTTATGTTTATAAATACAAAGGCAGAAAATGCAAAGTATGATTCTCCAAGCAACCTTGACTTGAACAATGAAGTAGCTACATCCTACCTACCTGGGTGGCATAAGTGCTCTCTGCTTTGCTGGCCGACTAAAGAGCAAGATCTGAGCACGTGGACAGGAAACAAGTGTGCTCCTTTACTGTCTGCTGCCGGGTCTGCCTAGGTGGCATTAAACATCCATGCAGGCCTGGTCTTCTTTGAAGGGTGTGAGGACACCTCAGGGCTGCACGGAGCTGGACAAACAAAAGGAGGCCAGGGTGTGTTGCAAACAACAAGCAACTGACTTTAAATTAGCATTTTGGAGTATTAAAAGGAAATACGAGTGCTCTATTCTTCGGGTTTTGTTTTGTTTTTTTTAATACTGAAACTTTCAGGAGTTAAAAAGCTACTGAAGGTTCAATTATAAGGTGCCAGTATAAATTTTCCTTGTGTCAGCTCTAGCCCTTACTCCCTGTTGAAGGAAGATGCAGGCATGACAGTCTTGCTCTATGTACTAAACCAGGAATTTTTCGAAGCTCGGTGGGCTGAGAATCTTGTGACTTCTTCTCAGAGGTATTCTGCATGAAAACATCCCTCGTTGCTGTTGCCATTGCCATCTCTGTCTCCTGTGCTTTTCTCCTCAGTTGCCTTTCCCTCTTCCTTTCTCTGCTTTGTGTTATCACCCTCATTGTGCAGTTTCTAGGAAAATCTAAACATTTTTCTTGTTCTTACCAGTGGAGATGTGGATTCTTTCCACAGTCCCTATAGCTTTCCACTCCATCCCCACTTGGGCACAATACTCAGCTCTGTCCTGCATCTCTTGATTTGCCAATGTGCAGTACCTGTACTGACACCCTTTTTCCTCTCCACATTGTCTTTTGGGTGTCTGTCTTGTTTGCAAAAAGTCAACAAACATCCATGACTTTCATAGCTTTTTTTTCCCTAGCTCTTATCTCTTTCTAAGATTTGGATTTTCCTGTCTGCTTCTTCTGCAGGATATGTGCTGCATCCTGTACCAGATTGTGAAGCAAGTGTGTGCTAACTTTTTTACCTGTCTTACCCCTTGTATTTCTTCCTGCCTCTATCGTCTTTGAATTCAGCTTTCTTCTCCTGCTAAGTATCCTGCTATTGTCTTTCACTTTTTCTGATGAGATTGAATAGGTCTTCATAGCCGTGGGCTTCCTTGCTGTAAGTTTGTCATTCATCCTGAGATACGGGCTCAGTGCTCCTGTCTTACCAAAAGGTCTGTTAATTTGAATTGATCTTCACTGAACGTTCTTCACTGCTTTTTCTGCTGCCGAAGCCAAGTGATAGGTGAAAGACTTGTGACATCTAGGATCTTGCCTCAGGCCCTTTATGTTCTTTAAAACTCAAATGCATTTATCAAGTTTCTTACCTGCTCTTGGTGTTTTCCTAATTGTCTTGATCACTTATTCTTTACATCTTTTGCTCCTCTGTCATTTCAATGTCCGTCTGTCCAAGTATGACTTACCCTTTTCTCATGTGCCATGAGGCAGTTGAAAGCACTGTCAACAGTGACAGTGGCTGCTCTGTTTATTATTGTCTCTTTTATGTCTTGAACTGATGATCCCATGCCTGGGATCCCAGTGTGCTGGTTGCTGCTGGATTTACTTCTCAGACCTTGTCACCACTCTTACCTCCTTCTACTCTTTGTGCCAGTTAATCTATTCCCAGAGAGTTTGACTGGATATACTGGCCTGTATCTTTCAACTTCTGCATCTCCTTTTGTAGGCAGCAGAAGAGGAAGCTCTCCTTTAATTCAACTATTTGCATCCTCTAGATATGCCTTGTTCCAGCTCTTGGAACCTCCCTTACTCTTACCTGCCTCTTCTCTGGTATGCTTTAGTTTCTTCTAGGATTAAAAAGAAAAAAAAAAAGAATCCTTGACCCCACTTGTCTCTCCAGCTACCTTCCTCTTTGCCTCTCCTTTCATCGTGCAGACTGTGCGTTAAACTACTCTGTTCTGGTTTATTCCTGGACCCTCTCCAGCCTGGCTCTTGTTTCTGCTGTTACGCTGAAGCCAAAATGTTAGCTCTGTTCCTAGCTGAAGCTCGCAAGACTGGCCCCTCTTGACTCGAATTGACTGTTGGTGTTGGCCTTGCTGTTCTTGAAATTGTGTGTCTTCTGTACTCCAGCAGTTCTGTGGGGGAGGAAATCGTGTTCAAGAGGGCTTTCTCTGGGATTGTCCGCTTATTATTTATAGATGGTACACATTCATCTGCTATCTGCATGTAGATATGACTGACTGCTCCAGGCATATTTCCATTTCCCCAAACTAAACTCTTGGCCTTTCTGTTAAGTATTTATTTCAGAGAGATCTATTTTTAGCTCCGCCTCCGAAAGCTTTGTGTTCAGGGATGCTATTCCTGTTGTCTCTTGTCATCCCTGTGTCAATTGTTACTGATGTTGTTAGCATCCAGCCAGTCACTTGTCCAGCGTTGTAGTCTGTGTCCTGGCTTCGGATCCCATCTCTCTAGGTGGTGAACGCAGTTAAGCCATCCAGAATAGTTCTGAACATCTTTCTAAGGCCGCACTTAATGTTTTGTGTATGCCGATCGACCTGTGAATTGCTGGGGCAGTGAAGGCCTTATGATCAATAGCCTTAATCTGTAGGAAGTGGGAAAACAAGGAGGAGGCACAATCTCTGTCTGTGGGCGTAGTCTGCACGTAAATTAGATGGTGTAGCATGCCGTGCCTCACCCTTCTTACCTCCGCATGCAGCTAGAAGTGGGACGACACCTGGTGTTTCAGCTACCATACGTGGCTACCATGCCCAAACCTTGTTCATTGGGAATGCTGCTGCAAAGGAGTAGGTTTGATCCTGTCGTCATTCCTTCTGTATGGGTTCCTTTTTTGATATTCCAGTTTCTTCACTGCATCTAGTGTGCGAGCTATTTGTCCATTTCAAGGCTTCCTGGGGCTTATCTCCACCCAGCCTGATACTCTTTCACTAGAGGAGCTGAGTCGAATATTGATTAGTGACAATGTTCTTCCCACTCAACGTTTCCAGTGGATAACTTTTTGCTCTCTCTTTGCTCTCTTCTGTACTTTCCCTCAAACCTTCTGCAGCTCTCTCCCAGTATCACAAAAACTGTTATTATAATTTCAAACTTTGACATGCACAAAAGCTCAACAGTCCTTATGTTGTTGACCTGCTGAGGACTAAATAGAAACGTTCCTTACTGCTGACTTGGTGTATCTCGTTGTCCAGTCCCTTCTTTCTGCAGTTTGCTGTTTAATCAAAGACAAGAAGCTGTAGGAATTTGAGGACTGGTGCTAGCAGCTTGTGTGCAGCACCTAACACAATGAGGGTGCATAACTGGAACTTCTGAACCCTCGAGAAATACTGATGGAAGGACATTTGTATCTTGCTACAGAAAGGGGAATAAAGTGGTCCTTTAGAAGGTGGCTGCATTATAGATGTTCTAGTTCTGCATGGGAAATAAGCTAAAAATTCTCCCTACAACTTGTATAGAAGAATATGCAAATGCTGCCTTTTGACACTTTTAATGCAAACAGTAAGTTTAAAGGGGGGAAAAAATATCTTAAGATCTGAATTCTTTAGTCTTCAATCATATACCTGTTGTCCAGGACTGTTTCAGAAACCTGTTGGATCTCTGTCGTGCTTACCTGGAACAAATGGGAGTTAGGCTGGGTCTAATCACTTGCATGCGTAGCTTTTTATTTTTGTTTTGTGTGTTTATATTAAATTGCGAGAGTATTCGGCAAACTAGTATTTATATGTTGCTATAGCAAACCTGTTATATCCAGGAAGAGTGCTGTAAGTGTATGTAGCAAAAATACTTTTCACTTATGTCAACAAATCTGTAGCGGATGTTGTGTCTGTAGACTTGTTTGTTCCCCGTCTTTCAATTTATAAAGGCACATTCAGTCTTTGATATCAGTTTCTATTTTGGGAGGAATACGTTCTGTTGAACTTTTTTTTTTTCCTTTCCCTTCAGAATGCCATAACTTTGGAGTCAGTTCACTGCCTGTTTTGATGTGATTTGTATTGTGCTAAATTTTGTTTAAATACACTGAAATATTTAGACTGATAAAAATCATTTTGTGAAAAATTGTTCCTCTCCAGTATTCCTCACTTGTGCTTGTTCTTGAACATTTTGTCTTAAGCAATGTCTTGAACGTTGTTTGGTGGGGTTTTTTTTGGTTTTGTGTTTTTTTTTTTTTTTCCCCTCCCAACCCGGACTGGTTTATTACAGTCAGAGTGCAGCTTCTGTATCCTCAGCACTGTTATCTTTGAGCAGTATTCACCACTGTGCAGTTTTCTGGCTAGGTACTTGTTTCTGCCCTTTCTTATTGCTTATTTGTCTTTTGCTTTTGTGTTTTTAGACAGTCTCCATTCCTGACAGTGGTCGGAGAGCTGAACTGCCAGGGAAGGTGGGTGGGAGGAGAAGGCAGAAGCACGCTTTGTCTCAGCTGATTGATGGTGCCGTCTGTGGTTTGGAATATCTGCATTATTTAATGCTGTGTTAGTTGGACAAGCTTAGTCGCACTAATGACTGTGCATGCATTTGGAAATTGCTTCTGCTAGATCAGTTCTGGCAAGATCTCTTGAGTGAGGTGTTGCTATCAGAAGGCCTCAAAACGTTTTGAAATCGCTGCAGGTGAAATGATAGTGTGGGAATACCTTAATGTGTTTTAAGGAAGCTAAAATTCTTCACACTGAGAGTGACCACATCAAGACTCTAGTTTTGCCAGCATAACCTCGTGCCAGCTTATTTGAAAGCACACAGGACTGTGAGACATAGGTTGCAGTGAGAGTTGGGTGTTTATCCCAAATACAGTCTTTGAGTATTTGTCTGCCTTTAGGACTTAAAATGACGAGCTCACTTCTGCAAAGGAGGGAAAGAAGGGAAACTAGAAACAAACTGGATGTCAGACTTCCATGTGATACCCATTAGGAAGACGTGAACTCTTAGTAGAATAGTCATTGCAACTTGATACAGGGAGAGGAGAAGCTTCTTACTTGGCTTCTGAGATACATGATCTTACTTGAAAGAGAATAACTCTGCTTCTGTCAGGAGGTGTGTATTTGTGTGGTGGAGTTTTCCGATGGTGGTGGTTGTGGCTTTTCTGGTTGTTTTTTTTTTTCAGCCTGTCACTAGTTCAGCTGCTTTCCCAGCAAACTTGACCATAGACTGCCTCGGCAAATGCTCGTTCCTGCCTCTGACCACTGCAGACTGCACTAAGCCTGAGCTTTTGCCCATGCTGGAAAATAATGTGTTTAGTGGCTGACATAAAACTTTACTATCTGGCTCCTCGGCTGTTTATTCTAAGCAGAACAGTTTGTCTGTTGTGCCTGTACTCAAACACACGTAATGATTTCCCAGCTCTGTTTAACTGCATCTCAGAGTGCCTGCCTCATCCTTCCTGTGTGCCTCCTCCTTTCTGAAAGGTTGAAAACATATTAAAATAGATGCGTGGTGTGAAACACGTGTTTTTTACTCAAGCAGCGCTCTAGCAGTCAGCACCATTAAAGTCTCTCAGAACTGGCTGTTGTTTTAAGAACAAGGCTTCTTGAAAGTGCAAGTGCCTGTGCTGTGCGAAGATGATCCTGGATGCACTAACTCTGGCATCTCTTTTGTAAAACTACGAAGAGAAGAGCAGTTTAAGCCAGACTTCTGTTCTTCATATAACCTGGTGACTAACACAAACCTGCATAGATCATTAGGCTGTAGCTTAAAAATGGTGAGCGATGCCGGTTTGGTTTGAAGCCTCTGGCGTTGCTTGGCCACGTGCTCCCCACGTGGTGGGATATGAAGCAGTCATTCTGTTTTGTTTCTCATGCCTTTGAATGTCCCCCCTGTGTTGACTTTGTCCTGCTGGTTGGTATCCAAAGAGAATAGCTGCCTCCTGGAAAACTTTAGGTAGTGGTACAGAATACAGTAAATAGAAGCTAATGTACAAAAGTATATTCTGCTGATGCTGCTCTGTCTGCCATCCAGTGACCTGTCCTTTTTACCAGCGTTCCTCAGGTGGCCTTGGCTCTTTCTTCCTCCTGTGCTGAGAACTTTGTGAGCTTCTTGTCTGCAAAGTCTCAAATAAAACGAGTAATTGGAGTCTGCTCTGAATACTGAATCTTATGCATTGTTATTCTGCTTGTACAGATTTCTTGACTTAATTCATTTGGCCAAGGTTAGAAGCATTTTGATGCAAATTTATTGCTTTGGTTGATAGCAGATCAAGCATGTTTTGAAGTTATGTCATGGTGGAGTAAACAGGAGCTTTAAGTTTCAGGTCTTCTGCAGGCAGCAGTTTGATGGAATATCTGAGAAATACATAGGAGAGCATGTGATGACTGTAAAAAAGCCCAAACTAACTCTACCTCACCTTTTCCTTCATGATAGAACTAATTCTTTCACTTCTTGCCTGTAGCCCTACGTGTTGGCTATTTTTATCAGAGTCTTGTGTTTTATGCTGTCCTTTAGTGGCAGTTATGTATTTTCAAAGAAAGGGTGTTGGGAAAGCATGTGGAGAGAAGATACCATTTTCCATAGTGAATCTGGTGCACATAGTGGTCCATGAAATTTGCTGTCTTGTGGTGTCAGTGTCTTGAAGATTCTGGATCATGTTTGAAGTTCTGGCCCCTGGAGTTCCATGATTGTGTGAAAATCTTGGCTTAGTGCATTTTGCTTTCATGGTTCTAGTGTTCATGGTGTGAAGAGGAGCTTGGAAAATATAGATTCTGAGGGCTTGACAATTGAAGCATGAAAGGTGGATTCATTGCCCGTCAAACTTGTTTTAAAAACCTCATATTTTTATGGGACATGGTTTATGATTTTGTGAATGCTTAAAATTGTTGGTAGTGAGAGTATTTTACATCCAACAGTCTTTCTCAGTAGGCCTTTTGATGCTGCTCTGTGTGTTTAAACCTCCTTTTTTGCTTTAAACCTTTCCGTCAGGTGGCTAACTGAAGGCTGCGTTTAACAAAACTCAACAGTTTCACTGCTTTTAGTGAAAGAACAGGAGTTTTAGAAATTTCTAATTCTAAAGAGAAGAGAGAATGACTGAAAGGGAACAAAGAAAAGCCTGAAGCTGTAAAACTTGGTTTCTTCCTGTCTTAATGCCATGGATATTGTGCCATGGCCACAAAATAGTGGGTATTTTAAACTGGGGGCAAAATGTCGGAAATGGTAAGTAACTGCCAGAAAGCCTAGCATGTTAATTATGGCCCACTTACCTGACAGATAAGAGCTTTTTTAATTCTGCCTTTAGATTGGTGATGTCAAATGAGAAATACCTGGTAAAGCCCTAATGAATGGAGCTTTATAACACTTTGTTTTCTTTTCTGTTTTTTTAAACCTATCTTTATAAATCTGTTTGCAGGGGCCAGCTACCTGTGTAGCGTTTTCAAGAACTGGAGACCTGTTTGCCTCTGGAGGATCTGATGAACAGGTATCTGACTAGTTTAAATTGATAGTTTTGAGCCTTGTTGTTACTGTTTTCCTGGTATCTTACTGCTTTCAAAAAGAAATATTAAAAATAGTGAGAGATATTAAACATAGACTTTTCTTACTGAGGAAGCATTCCAGCTGGATTGTCTGGGAATGGGTATGTACAACAGAAGAAATGTTACCCTATAAACAGCCCTTGTTATAGGCCTTTGAGGCATCTGCTGCTGGGAAATAAGTTAGGTGGGTGTGCAAATGGCTGTGTTGAGGTATCTTGAGTATCACAGGCTATGCTGATGGATTGTCTCCTGATCTAGTTCTGAGACACAAGCGTAAGGACAAGGCAAGCAGGCAGGGATGCTTCCTCTGAATACTTTTCCAGGCCCCACTGGTCTACAGTGCTCTGTATTTCATATTCCTTGGTGCTCTCCTCCTGCCACAGATCTGTCATCTCAGTCTTATTTGAAATGCTGGGACTAAGCCATCTCCAGTGACTGCAACCAGTTGTGATTGGTTGTGTCTGATTGGACATGAATAGGGGCTGTAGGTCTCTTTATTAATGGGAGCCTGGTGCAAAGGTGTTCTAATGCTGCAGTTGCACAGCTTTTTGGGTCAGAGCTGGACTTTTCTCTGTTGACCTTGATGTATGCACTAGGATTGAGAGCCTGGGTGTCTCGTACTGCTGGTAAAGGGTTTTTGTCAATGAAACATTTAGGGCAGAAGGGAGAATCTCTTCCTTTAGCTTCTGGTTCCGAGTTATAATCCAGATTCACTTTTATTTAAAAGCTGCTGGGTTTTATTTTCTGTTGTCAGTGGGGAAAAGCAAAATGTACCCGGTGTGTCTAGACCATGCTGAAATGATTTGCTGGGTTCTTTATGGGATATATGTTTTCAGTTGTATACTATTGAGGAGGAAACTAATCCTAGGGTTGTAGCTCATGGCAGTTTCATGAGCTGCTGCATTTTAACTGTGTTTTATAGATTTGCCTAGTTATGTGGCATAGCTTGTCATCGTGTCTCTTTTAAGACAACTTTTTATTTAAGGCTTTAAACAGACTGTTTTGAAGAGGTGCATCCTGGTTTTTGTCTTATAAAATTATATTGGGGTCACTATATTAAGGTTTGCTCTTGAAATGCTTATCTAACACAAGAAATAAATAGGCATTTTGGCTGTTATTTCTCTGTTCCTTAAAAGCCCTGATGTAGCTGGAAGTTGCAGTTATATAGCAAAGAAATATAAGAAAACTTAAGAAATTTTATTTGACTTCAATTTCTAGGCATAGCCAAGAAGCTGACTTTTTATTTACTTCCATTTTAGCTTAAGAGCATGTGTTAGCCTACATTTCTCCATTGTGTAAAGTAGATTCTTTCAAAAGGCTTTGATTTTATCAGTTGCCTCTGTCTCCTATGGTTGGGATTTCTTTACATGAAGTAAAGCTCATTGCAGATGAGGTTCATTGTGGTGGTGTTTTTTCCCCTCAAAGTATCACCTGGTATTGTTAAACTGAAACATTGAATGGCAATGCCTCCCCAGAAAGGTGCTTTGTAAAGGTGCACTTATGGCACACGGTCATATACTGACTTCTTTGGGCAGCCCTTTCCGTCATAGCTCAAGCCTTACGTGTGTCTGAATTGAGTGTATCGGTGAGGGTGGCTGTTGGCTTTCCTGTTCTTAGCTCCCATTGAAGGAATTGCCTCTCTCCTTATATTTGTATCTTAAAACGCAGGCAGTGCTTCCTTTCGTGCATGGAGGAAGAGCTCTAACATACAATATATATATGTATGTATTAAAACCAACATTGGTCTTGGATTGCTAGTTGTGTATGTACAGGAAGCTTTTTCAGCAGAATGGACCTTGCTGAACACTAGCTTTCTGGATCCAAGAGAAATAACAGTAATTTTTATTGTTGTGGGGTAATTTAGACATGTAGTCTGTCTAAAAAAACCCACGTTTAACTACTGAACTGCAAACAGGCTGTTGTATGAGCCTGCTGGAATCAGGTGGTGTCATTTGCACCCTGTGCTGCGAATATAGGCTGGTTCTAACATAGTGTGAGTTGCTCTGCTGAAGACATGGGCAGACTTCAACCCAAGGGAGTGGTCTGAGTAAGTATCCATTTTTCTGTCATCAGTCTTCACTGGGCTGTGTTGCATTGCTCTTAATCCCCAGGTTAGACTAGGTAGCAGTGCTCGTCTTTGTCGTAATAGCACCCTTGCTAGCTGTGAAGAGACAATCTATACCGTAAAAGAGCATTGCTTTTTTTCCGTTACACAAAGGAATGGTCTCGTTGGTTAACTATGCAGCTACAAAAGAAAAATCCTTTTATTTCAGGCGAAGCAGGGATGAAAACTTGTAAGTAAATGATAAACACTGATGCTTCTGATAACCAAGATGAGCTGCCTGGGTTCATATGTGTCTTTCAGATTTCTGAAATAGTTGATTGATTGCTCTTAAACTTTGTTTAGACTTCAGAGCCACTGCTAAGGATTTTAATCCATAGATTTGGTCTTGATATGTTGAAGTGGTTTATGTGTAAGAGGCCTTCTTTCTCTTCTGAAAAAATACTGCATTATGGAGAGGAACCTATACGTGAGATTTAAGTTTGGTATTTAGCTGACAAACTAGCTCAAGATTTCTAACACTAGTCTCAAAGTACTAACTGTCCTTTTCCTATGAATGAATCTGATGATAAACCAGTGACTAGTTGTTTGGGGTGTGGTTGATAACTGCTGTGTTGCCTAAGTATGGTATTTTAACATATTTGTGGTTTTAATGGTATATTCTGCATGTTGCTTTGAAGTTCTCTTGGTACCTCTAGTTCCGTGATGTTCCTGGCACAAAGAATGTTGGAAGACCTAGGTCAGTTACCTCTTGAGAACTCAGTTATGCTATGTCTGTATTCAGTAGCCTATTTACAATTAACACTCTTAATTGATGGCAGAGCTTTCTTAGGTAAGCTTTGGTGTGCGTTTGCTGACTCTTTTCTGATGTGTTGATAAAATTGACCTTTAAGCAAATGTAGATGGAAAAATTTAATAGAGATAACTTAGCCACTTGCCTTTTTTCTGTAGGTAATGGTGTGGAAGACTAACTTTGATGCAGCAGATTATGGTGATGTACTGAAAACCCAGAAGTCTGGCACTAGTGTGGATGGGACCCATCATACTCTGGTAGGTCAGCATGCCGAAGTCGTGTAGAGTTCCTTTTCAGTACGCTTTCTGCAACTTGAAAGCATGTGGCTCTTTCAGGCAGTTGATCTATAGAGCCATCTTTCCTTGATATTTATTTGAGCTGCAGGATGTATCTTTTTAACTGATCTTGTATTGTTTGTTTTGTTTAACTGTACTTACTTTGTAGGAAAATGATATGTAATGATTTTAAATTTAGTGTATGTATGTATGCATTTTTTATTAACAGCCTGTGTTTAAGAATGTGTGGTAGGCTTAGATGATAGTCCACAAAAAAAGCACAGATATGAGTAACAGCTGAAGGCAATTTTGCTAGCTGATATGAATACTTTAGACTGGTGTCAGTCCTGAAAATAGTATTGTTCATGGTATCTTTTCACTGACAGTCAGTAGAGACAAAAGAAATATCTGCATAGACTTGAGAGATATAGATAGACACGTGAGAAGTAAGTGACATATTGTATTGAAGCTTCTTTCCTAAATACTTGGAGACATCAGTTCATATCTGTTCCCTGAACCATGTGTCGAGAGACATCTGAGTTCTTACTGTATCTAATGGATAAATCTGCCAGCTGAGTAATTCAGTATGATGCTGTCATGGTTTGATGTGGAGGGGGGGGTGGTTCTGGTGGCAGGAGAGGGGTTTTGCTCCCTGCGACCTCCCCGGTTTTGGAACTGGGTTAGGCTTAGTTCTGGCCACCAGATCAGACTGCCATCCCCCTCGGGTTGAGCCAATAGGGCGCCTCTGCGAATTGCCCTATTTAAGTCAGGACAAAGGAACCAGAAAAGGTGCTTTGCCCAGGAGTGAGCAGAGAAGGGAAGAGGGCACTGAGGGAGGAGAGACAAAGCCTTTATGGGAAGAAATACTGCTTTCAGTTTGTAACATTTCAAGGAATGGCTTAAATAGTGTAGGCAGGTGTCTGCTAACAGGAAATTATGGTAAGTTTACCCCCACCTATACTGCTGTTATTAGCAGAGCATACTATCCAGTAGTAATTTAAGGAAAGGAAGGAAATGCCTGAGCTCTTCTAAAACTTAGTTCGTCGTTATAGAACCTCTGAAGTTGTGCATTGAAGGTAGCTGCTGAACAAAACCCTTGAACAATGACTACCCACCCTGAACATCTATCCCTCCAACAAAATTATTCCCCTGTGGAAGAGGGTTTACCTGGCAAAACATCTAATAGATGTTGCTGGGACTGTTTGTGTACTACTAACAGGCAAATCCATGTCATGTGGTGTTGGTTGACAAGGGGTTGGTTGCTCTGCTCATGCTCTGAGCCGATGAGAAACAGAGCACTGCAAATTCTTTGAGGTGCAATATGTTGGTTTGGACCAGGTGCTGTGTACAGACGGCAAAGTGAATCCATGTTGAGTCATGAAGAAGAGACATACTTTGGTTTGGGGACCTAAATTACTTCAAAGGAGTGAGTATTTTGAGTTGCCACCCAAATGCAACCTTTGGCTTGAGTGTGCAGCATGGAAGCTGCTGATCTCAGCAGTACTACTTGAACATAAAAAGTGTTGGAAAGTTACTGTGTTATGTGCAACTTATGGAGGATCAAACTGAGTGATTGTCAGTGGGATTCTTCCTTCCTATTTACTCATTGGGCAAACGTGGTGTTATCTTTTGGTCTTATTAGCACAAATGATACTTCCACTAGATCTGACAGATCAGCTCTGAGAAGGAATAGAGACTTGTAAATTAAACCTTTGACTACTTTCAGCAGTAAAATCGTCACCGGTTCAAAAGCAGGGGTGAAGGCAGTTGCAATGGAGAGCATGGCTGCTGGCTGGCACGGCTAAGACCAGTGTCTTAGTCTAAGTATGTTGATGTAGTTCAACAATGTGATGTCTCTTATGCAGTTAAGAACATTGTTTTGCCTTGAAAGTGCGATGCAGCACTATATCCTACTAGAAAGGAGTGGAGTTTCAATTTTTGTCTCGTGTCACTTAGTCTGATTGGTGCTGCCAAAGCCAATATAGTCTAAATTTTTTGGGGGATATCAGTTGTATCGTGGCTGCCTGTTACAGGAACAATCACGTAGCATGCTAGAGCCTATGCCTGGTCTCTGCTAAGATCTCACTACGCTTCAGGAGAATGGAAATGCAAAAATATGAGTAGTACTCAATATCCTTGTGTATTAGGTTATTAGGAATGCAACGCTTTAATATTAAGGCAATTATGATTGTTGAAGTTTGAAGGGGAAGAATAAACAATGTAGTCTGAGAGGCTGTTTTGAAGTTTAAATTTAGAGTTGATACGAAATGTTATTTGCTGTTAAAAAGAGGCTGATATATCTTGAAAATTGCTTGGTTTGTTATTTTAAGGGATAAGTATAACATGAGCATAGAAATCTCGGCTCCTTAATAACTTGTCCATTCGTGGAAGTCTACTTCTTTCAAGTGAATTTCATTACTTTTATCTTTTAGGAATATACTATGCTGGGCTCTTAAAGAGTACTGTCACTGCTACAACTTACTGCAAGATTTAAGTTTCACTACAGATTCAGTTCCTTCTTGTTTTGAGCAAAACATTTGATTTTTAATAATGAAGTACGTATTTTGATGTTTTTTGTGTAGTTGAGATCAGTTATTTGTCCCATCAAAATAAGACTTAAAACTTCCACCTGTGACTCTTAATTT